TATATGCGTGCGTGCGTTTGTGTGTGTATCTGTGTGTGGTAACATAAAACAATAATTACAATCATAGTTGACGTATAAGTAGCGTTACGTCATTAGTGCGTATAATAGTCTGAATTCTGTGCTTCTCGGCATTCTTTATTGCATCGGAGTTGCCCACATACATACATACCTTAACGACAGAATTTCGAATAAAGTTACTTCCTACGCGATAAAACCACGGACGTAGAACTAGGTTAATTCCCAACGTGATGCCATACGAGGAACATATGAGTTTGCAGGACATACACTTTCAACAGTAGACGCCTACGAAACACGGCGAAAGCCATGGGCACGACAATGAGTGTACCATCACACAGAATTGGTGCTTTATTCGCGCAAACAATCGGTATAGAATGGTGCATTCCAGTTATTAGGTGAAATAGCTGCTACGATAAAACGTAAGCATTCAACGCATAACGTATTGGTGAGGAAGCTGCGAAGTGGTTGATCACCTATAGGCGTTACTAAGCTAGCAAAAATTGCATTACGTATTCGTAGTCAACCTGCATCGTTATTATTATTTACATTTAAAGATATATATATATATATTACTCTCAGGTAATGGGGGGTGCTGGGTGCTCGTAGGTAATGCGTGATTTTGTATTATAATATATATTACTTTATGCAAACGTACACATATTGTGATATAATGTGAATTGCTGACCTTGTTCTGACGCTCGCGGAACAGTAGCGACGTGCTGTTAAGACGTGCTAGAAATACAATCGCGCTGCGCACAACGCCAGCCAGCTACACGATGTTTATGTCGCACTGTGTTGCGACAGCGTTAACAGTTATAGCTCCCGAGCATTGTGATACATGACAGTCAATTTGTCAGTGTTTGAAGGCCGACCGCTTGTCATTTCCCCTACGTGTACTGGCTCCGTGGATCCGCGACACACGTGCACGCTGACTAAAGTATCCCCCGAAGGTTTACTTGCCGATTGAAAATCGGATCGCGTATATAGCGAGCTTTTCACGAAATGTTTTTGATATCTTTTGCTTACACAGCCGACGAAGCTGCGCAATGGCTCTGCGCAGACGGAAACCAGCGCATAGCTTACCATGGCGTCTGCGATGGCTTTATTCAATGCGACGACGGATCAGACGAGGCCGACTGCGCTGAGGTGTGCGACCCGACAAACTGCAGGTAATACGTCAGACTTACCCTAGACATGCACGACATACGAATGTTGTTTGCCACACACCGTGGAAACAAACCGCTTACGTATTGTATTACGTTCGTGCGTTTTTTTCCGCACAACTCAAGGTGATCGGTTGAGTTTTTCTTTCGCTGTACACAAACACGACATCGGTTTCAAGAGCATTCGGAAATGTCGTTAACAATAAGTGATTTCGACAATATTCGCGAATACGCTTGTAATTAACCTACCAACTAACTCCAACTAAACTAAATCGAACCTTAACTATTCGGCTAACCTATACTAACGTATCCACATTCCCCGTTGAATCCATGTCATTCTATAATATCTGGGCTCGTCACAATAGTTGTTCTACTTGGCCCATGTCATCGCGTATCGGGCGCGCGGACTTGTACAGACGCTGCACGTCACTATATAGTTCGTGTGTTCAACCATGTGTTCGTTTACGTGCGTTCGCTCGTGTGTTCAACTATTGTGTTCGTTCGCAGGCTGCCCGATTGCAAGTGCAGCAGTGGGGAGATTCCTGGCGAGCTACTTGCTAACGAGGTGCCGCAGCTAGTGTTAATCGGATGGGACGAGGCGGTTAGAGTGGAAGATTATAGCCATCTCTACCAGCAGGTGTTTAAGAAGGTATGGTAAAGACTCCACAAAACGCATTTATGCGGCACAGGCAGACCCATGCTGCCCTTCTCGTTGTTCGATATGCGCGCGTGACACACTTATTTTGCATCCGCCCAGATTATGAGTGCTTTCGCAAAATACTGCCGAGCAGATTGGGTTCTCACACAAAAGATGTGTCGTTCGTGCCCTTTATAGTCTTAGTACAATTGCCCAGAATACTGCAATGTTATAGTGATTTGTCCTATTATCATTGGTGTAACCTAAATCTTTTAAGCACATCGCTCGGACGCGTGCATGTCCGGTATGTTCGAAGAATGGAGGGAGATGTTGATGGTATCGAGTAATTCTACAATATGGTTGACACTGCCTCTTGCAGATCACCGCCAATAGGAGGCGTGAAAATCGCAATAATCCTAACGGATGTCCGGCTGTGGGCACATTCTTCGTGAGTCATCAGTTTACTGACTACGCCGCTCTCCAGAGTCTGTACAGTCAAGGTCACGAGATCGCTTCACACTCCATCAGGTATACAGGATAAGGAGTCAGTGTGCTTGCGCGTGTGTGTGTGTGTGCGTGCGCTGCGGGCCGTTCGCGTGCCACTTTTCTCTGCGGTGCCGTGCCGTGCCTCCCCGTGCCGTGCTTCATCCGCTCTCACCTCATCCTCCGCGCGCGCGGGGCGTGTGTGTGTGTGTGTGTGTGTGTGTGTGTGTGTGTGTTAGAGAGAGAGAGAGAGAGAGAGAGAGAGAGAGAGAGAGAGAGAGAGCGAGAGAGAGAGAAAGAGAACACGCGACTGAGGCATAATTACTTGTTACAATTCACGGGTAGACGTATAGAGATCGCGTATAGATGCTACAACTACATTTTTATTCCGATTTCATAAACGCATTATCACGCGTTATCTAAGAATAACCTAATGTTCGAACAAATCCGTCATAGATTAAGTTAAGGTGCTTGATTTGCAATACAGCGCAAAAGAGAAAACATGGTTGCGCGTGCGTGCTCAATGTTTCGTCAGATGTGAAGCTACATGTTGCCCTCAATCGGCTCTTGCAGTAAAACGTTGCCCGCCGAGTACTGGGAGACAGCAACAAGCGAAGACGTTGCCGCAGAGTATGCCGGAGCCAGAAAGATTTTCAGCAACCTGGCGGGTATTCCTGAGAGCGCTGTCGTCGGCACACGCGCCGCGTATCTGCAGACGAGCGGAAATGAATTCGTCAGAACGCTGACAGAGAATGGCTTTGGATGGGACTCCTCCTACGCGACGAGCCAGATTGATCCTCCGATTTGGCCATACACGTTCAACTTCAGGTGAGTGTAGAAGGCGCCGCGCTGATACCAGCGTATCATGTTGTCGACATCAGTGTATTATGCGGCAATCATGTTCAACAACGTCGCAGCGACGCGGTGCATGACTAAAGGTCGTGACGAAGACGGAACCGATTAGAGCGACACTCGAAGAGATTGACTTTAGCGTGGGACCTTAATTAGCAACAGAAAGCCCGCGGGCTACAATAATTTCCTATTTCGATATAGCGCATTTAAAAGAGCTTAGAATGTCAACTGTTAGTATTTCGCCGAGTAAAAACGTTTGCTCTATCTATAAACAGGTCAACTGCTGGGTGCCCCGTTGCACCGTGCCCCACCGCATCGTTAACCGGATTCTGGGAGTTTCCTCTCGTGGACTGGATTGACCTAAACGACACGCTGTGCGTGAACGTAGACAGCTGTTTATTCACGGAAGATAAGGAGGAGGCAACGACCTTACTAAAGACCAACTTCCGACGCCATTACAACACAAATAAGGCTCCTTTCACGCTCAATCTTCGTGCCAGGTAAGAATTCGTACATGCTCTGTATGATTACGCAGTGATCCCGGCTAATCAATTGTATGTCATTATTATACAGGTATTCGCTTTTGAAATATTGCTCTGCTCGCTTGTTAGCCTCATGATGACTAGTGTAATGACGAACACCTGTAATTCTAAAGACCTGATTGATGCTTGCAGCTTGATTATAACATATATGCGTGGTCATCTTTACCGCGAAGTAGTTTTCATTTGGATGCGCGCTCGTCTCTTAGGGGTTTGACCTTTGAAGTACTACTTCGGACGATTTCAACAAATGGGGAACTCTTTGTTTGCTGATCTGTTCATCAGGGTGCAACACACTCTGCTAGGGTAGCGACACTGATAGGCAAAACCAGTTTATTCCATTGGTTTTCTAGAGTATCGTTTAAGTTGCGAGTGAAGTGAAAATGCACGTTATGTAGTTAATCCTCTCCACAACCTTTTAACTGACTATCATTATGAGTTCAACGACACGTTTGTTTATCAAGCTTAATTTTGGGCACAATCTTAATTAGCCATACTTGACTCCTACCTACCATTGATATAACAGGTTAATGTCACTTAATCATGTGTATATAGTTTCATTCGCGCGTGCGTACGTGTGTGCGTGCCTGCGTGTGCGTGCGCGTGCATGCGTGCGTGCGTGCGTGCGTGCCTGTGAGTATGTGTTCTCCCCGTTATAGCATCATTATACTATCTTGCTTATATCGAGGCAAGCGTGTTATTCGCGCGCATGTTCTCGACAGAGCCCGCATGCATGACACGACGATCTTATCAAGCGCGACCATTCGCAGTAATTTAACGCAAACGTTATACATTGCACCATCACGCAGCGTCTAATTGTTTTCTTCTCCAGGTGGTTCTACAACGACGGCTACCATAATCTCGAAGCTCTACAAGAATTCCTCGACGAGCTGGAAGCCATGGACGACGTCTACATCGTCACCTACAGTCAGGCGATGAACTGGATTAGAAATCCCGTCAAGATGGCCAACCTGCTCGATTCGGACGTCTTCAGCTGCGACTACAGCGACCGGACGCCGCTGTGCGACAATCTGAACCTGTGCGGCTACGCGAACATCACCTACCAGCCTAACAGTGAAGACCACCCGGGCGATCGCTTCTTCCAGACGTGTAGCGAGTGTCCGGCCGTCTATCCCTGGACAGGAAACCCCGACGGCGTCGATCAGTCGTAGACGCAACTTGTACGCGCGCATGCGCTCCTCGAAAAACGGTGCCAACGTGCAGTTTCGCGTCTCGTGATGTTCTTTTGCCACGTTATTATGCGACGGTCACACTCTACGTGGCGGTACTATGGTATAGCCAAGCAAC